CCTAAACCCCAAGCCCTAATTAAGCCCTAGACCCTAAACCCTAAGCCCCAAGCCCTAAACCCCAAACCCCAAGCCCTAAACCCTAAACCCTTTTTTCGAACCTCTAAGGCGCCTCCGGCCCGGGTGGCCCAATGCTGGAGATCCGTCGTTCTGCGGAGTTGGGGGTCCCAACTGCTTGGTTTTGCCATCTCATGGACCACAAGAGACTTTGCTTGGGGCTTTAGGGGTTTAGGGCTTTAGGGGTTTAGGGGTTTAGGGCTTTAGGGGTTTTGGGTTTTAGGGGCTTAGGGGTTTAGGGGTTTAGGGGTTTATAGGGGTTTAGGGGCTTAGGGTTTGGGGGTTTAGGGGTTTAGGGTTTAGGGTGGAGACTTTGACAGTTCAGTTCAGGATTTACTTAAATGTTCATGGGACTTAGGAGCCAGGGTTATAAATAAGGGAAGCATACTTATAAGTAATTGTAACCCCAGTCAAGGTACTTACAACCTTACTTGCTAAGTGTCATGGACCACAACAGACTGGGCTCGTGTTAGGGATGTAAGGGTTCTTGTTAGGATTTAGGGTTTAGGGCTTAGGAAACATGGACTATATCATTTAACTGTTTGACAATAGATCTAACACGAACCCAGGAGAGGAATCACGGATGTGGCGTTGTTTTTGTTGAATATCTACAAGGTCCCCTTCTCCTCTCACAGTGGCTCCACTGCGTGGCCTGGAGTTGCAAGCATTTTCATGAGCAGCTACTTCATAGCGGGCTACCTGCTGGAAAAGTTGGATTGCTGCACCGTCGATGGTGAAGTCGACTGGAGTGACACAAGTGAGAGCAGTGGCGACTCCTCCAGTGAGGATGTTACCTGGTTGAAGAAAGAGTCTCCAATACTTGCCTCCGACTGATCTGTGCGATGACCAGCAGTGCGAAGCAGAACACTGAGGCATGATATACAGACGGCTTGTTGCGTTTCACAACCGCTAGGGCACATCTCATCACCGAATGTACTAGTGTGCTCCATTCGTGCTATAGCAGTTCAACTGTTCTGCCAACTTCGCAATCGGTTTTGCAGCGTTCCCGCCCGATGGCAAACAGAAGTGTCCAAATATAGCAGTGATGGAAATTGCGTGCCCGACGTGGCAGCAGAGATGGCAATGCGATGGCTGGAGTCCATGGAAACGACGCACATGACCTGTAGGGTTTAATTAGAGGGTGCAGCAGCGCAGCTAAGCGCGCTTCCTCGGATGTTGCAGTGGACACAGAGGAGCAGAACATGTAGCAGTGAATGCACGTCGAACGCCTGTTTTGGCTTAAGCGTTAGTTGCGATTGCGCAGATGCGCCATCCATTTTTGTATTGTGGGGTTCAAGATCTGTACTGCTCCGTAGGCAAAGTGAGTCTTTAAGACCGCACGGACACGCACAACGTCGCTATATCCGCAATATTCTGTCCGCACGCTGTGCTCGGGTTCTGATCGTCGCTTCTGGTGTAGCTGTGATACGGACACTCCTAGCACGACCTCAGCGCTAACATGTAACGCATGGTGCTACTTAGAATCCGAAGCCCTGTCGCAGTTCCTGGCATTCGGATGATGGCTGCGCAAAGCAGGCTGCTTGAAGCCCTTAGCTGCTCTCAATAGGGTTGAGCTAAACTAGAAGCTTTTCATCGTTAGAGGAGGGCTTGGACCTCCGCTATACAATAATTGCATGAAGGAGATCCCTATTACTTAGAAATACTGTTCTAAGTCATTCTTCAGGCGGTACCACATTAAAGTTTAGCAAAAGGAAGCCTGGGTACTACTATCCCAGACCCTAAGCCCGAATCCTAAGCCATGATTATATTAAGGAGCACGAAGGAATACTACTCTAAACCCTAAGCCCTAAACCCTAAACCCTAAACCCTAGACCCTAAGCCCTAAACCCAAAACCCCAAACTCCCTTGATGACCCCCAAGGGTTCTCAGGAAGGCACTGCCCGGTTCTGAGAGACTCGCGCAGGTGTCGCTGAGGCGCGGCGGGGCTCCTGGAGGGCTGACCTGGACTCTAATTGCCTACAGTTTTATGGGTTCTACCTACTAATTAAGGGGTAATGGCTGCTAAACTGTAGGTAAAGAGAGTTACAGGGACTGGCTGAGCAGCGATGTTTCGTTTTCGTAGTCTCTTTTTAAGAGGCTTCTAGTGCGTTGTAGTACATAATAGTATCTTGCGGTATATTATTTTACTGCAGTAGATTATCGTATTTTGAAGTAAGTTGCAACGCCGAAGCTATTCTGAAACTCTCTTGTAGTACTGGCTGGCCTGTTGTCCATGCTTGCTTTTGCGGCACACTGGACCCACACACGCGAAGGATGTCGGCAGAGGCAGTTGAAGTGGCGGAGGCCAGGACAGATCCTTTCATTGCCGCGACTGTGGCCCACAGAGCCCAATGCCCCCTGAATTCCCGAATTCTAGCGCTATTTGGCCCCTCTGGGAGTGAGTTTAGTTTCATATTTTCCAAGCGCTCCCTTCAGGCTGCCG